ACACAAGGTCTGGTGGAACGTTTCAACGGAACGTGTGATGGGCATGCTACGTATGTTTGTGAGCGAGACGCAGACGGATTGGGACGTGTACCTACCAAGGGTCCTATTTGCGTACCGAACGGCATATCACGAAGGCCTCGGTGACACGCCGTTCTTTAGTCTGTATGGACGTGACCCGGTACTACCTATCGACTTAGCGTTCCTGAACACAGGAAGGGACTGGAAGAGTAACGAAGTTGCGACGTACCGCCGGAAATTGTATCGCTCGTTGCGTGACTCGCGTCGTCTTGTGGAGCGACAACTACTCAAGGCTCAGGATCGACACGAGCAGAGGTTGGACAACCAAGTGAAGGTGACATATGCAGAAGGAGACGCTGTCTGGATGTACCAGTACTTTAGAGCCCGAGTGGGGGAGCGCAGGACGAAGAAGCTGGCGTTCTCCTGGCACGGTCCCTACCGTGTTGTTGGCCAAGTCGGGGAGAACGCCTACAGGATCGCGATTCCGACGCACCCGAACAAGGTCGTCACGGTAAACGTCAACCGTCTGAAGCGCTTTCAAGGACGCTGGAGTCGACCCTACGCAGACGAGAAGCCTGACAGAGTTGAAGAAGAAGAGGATAAGGACGGTACGGGTCCATTGGACGTCGAGGACCTGCCGTCGACGAGCTTTGTGGAACGTCTCTCAATTGGCGAAGAAGAAACAGCGTTCTCGGGAGTGTCGTCGCCGATAGTGGACGTGATCGCGAAGAGAGTCGAAAAGCGTGAGTTGCAGTATCTCGTACTCACCGCCACGTATGAGACGTATTGGTTGTCTCGAGCGGCGTTGGCACCGGAGTTTGGAACGATGATACGTGCCTTTGAGGACGCAGATCGGAAGAAGAGAGGTCTGCCGGAGTTGCGTCGGAACGTCAGATTGGTCGAAGCCAATGCTGATGTCGACGATGCGGAGGTGTTGTTCTAGCTGGCAACGGGAGCCGGTTAGAATGTGTGCAGTTGTGGGACTGCACGAGAGTGTTTGGGACTCGCTGAGTCTCAGAACACTGAGTGACGTGTACATATTTTCTATTTTGGAACGACCACGGGTTGTTCTTTGGGTTTTACGGAGTTGGGTATTTTGGGAACGTCACGAGCATACGAAGACTGAGTGTGTCAGTTTGGAACGCGAAGGAGTTTGTGAAGCATCAGTTTGGAACGTGAAGGAGTTTGTGAAGCATCAGTTTGGGACGTGAAGGAGTTTGTGAACAATCAGTCTGGAAAGTGAGGAAGTTTATGAAGCGGTAGTTTGGAGTCCGAGGGAGTTCGGATGCGTCGGTTGGGAGCAAGAAGAAGTGTTCAAGAGAGATTCGTTGACGATAGAAACGGAGAGTTAAGAACAAGGCACGACAACGAGAAACGACGGAACGTTACGGTTAAAAGGGAACGAGAGCTACGAACGGCTACATCGCAAAGACGTGCTACTTGGAGGCCTTCTTCTGGTCGTCCTCCTCTTCGTCCTTGTCGCTTTCCTCGTCGCCGTCCTCGTGCTCGACGAATTCCTCCTCTTCCTGCTCGTCTTCGTCGTCGTCGGCTTCGGACTCCTCGTCGTCGTTACCTGAAGCGTCTTCGCCGTCGGCCGCAGCTTCCTTCTCTTCGTCCTCGCCTTCATCTTCGAACTCGGACCACTCGTCGCGGCGACGTTCCGTACCGGACGGTGGACGGACAGTTGGAACTTCGTACGTTCCTGCGGTGATCTGGGCCATAATGTCGTCTTGAGCCAGCTTGACGGCGTGGTTGTTTACGAGCGTCTGCCACGGTTCCTCGTTCTTCTCACCAGCCCAAGTCACGTTGGGCTTCGTGCTTGACATAGTGTCGCGTCGAATTCGTGCTAAGGCAGCAAAGGAGAGCCGGCTCTTCTCGTCTGCATCCGGGTTCCGTGCTTCCGTAGACTCGAACAAGGAGCGCATGCTGGGGTACCCGTAAGTGTCGATATATGACGGGTCCAGCGCGTTCTCGAGCGTGGCGTCGTAGCGTTCCTTGTCCTTCTGCTTCAGGGTCGCTAGGTCCTTGGTAATGGGTCCGTTGTAGGGGCGGCCATCGCGTGTGGCTCTGCCAGGCTGGCCCCCGAGCCAATACATCTCAGGGCGCTTCTCCAATATCTCGAGAAAGGCATAAAAGCCCCATGTCTCTATGCAAATGCTAGTGAAGGCCCAGCGAGCTTGGACAGCGCGCATCTTCAGCTTACGACGCTGAGTCATGGCCGCTGCAGTGGCAAGAGGAGCGTTTAGGGCCCACTCCCAGAAAGCACGGCGATGGGTCATCCAGAAACGCCAGTGTGCGCGGTACACTTGACTGAACTTGATTGGATCGTACCACATGGGACGTCCGGTCCAAGGGTACGCAAGGCGCCAGGGCTTCTTACCTAGGGCCTCTGCCTTCGCCAAGATGGCAGCAATCGCCCGACGAACGGGAGCAGGAGCAGAGCGACTCACGTCGAGAAGATGGCCGAGCTCGTTGGATGGAACGTGCGCCTTCTTGGGTTTGCTGGCGACGCGAGCCTTCTTAGTGGACGACTTGGAAGTAGAGTCGTCACCGCTGGACTTACGCTTGCCTCGCGCGGGCGACTTAGGCGACTTGGGTGTCTTCTTGGAGGGCGACTTCGACTGCTTGCTCGACGACGTCGTCGACGCCGTAGCAGATCCTGAAGAGGGAGCAGAATCTACCGGCGCGGGGAGGGCCACGACGGTTCCTTGGAGCGAAGCGTCGGTCTGACCGTTCATGATGTCCTCGGCGAGCTGGTCCAAGAACTGGAGACCCGACGACATGCTGTTGGCGCCCAGGCGCGCGCGCAGCTCGGTCCAGAACTGCTGCTGGAAGGCCCGCGCAGTGTCCTTAGGGGTGCCCTGCTCCTCATGGTCAAGGGCGGCGTTGAAGAACGCCCGGAAGCGCCTCAGCTCGGCGGCGGTAAGTCGTGTGGACATGGTGAAGAGCGGATTGTGAAATGAGAGAAATCCGAAAACAGGAAGTTTTCACTTGATGGCTGCCAAGGGGCACGCGAGAAGGTTCGACAGTTGGGACGTGGCGTCGACTGAGGGACGCAATGATGCTTGGTGACTTGGGCGGACAAGGTTTCGGGTGAAGAACCTTCCTAACGGCTAACGGTCTGGAGGATCTGCTGTTGTGACGATGTCACTTGGAAATTGATGACGATGTGGGGAGCGTTAGCGGAATGGGCGGAACAGGCGAACTGGACGATGGACTTCGAAGTGGCGGACGAGATGGGGGTCGTCGGCAGCGCTGTGATGGGGATAGTGATCTGGATTGCAACGACGCCTCTGCGGAACGTGTCGTGGGCGTTCCTCGACGGAACGATCGAGAACGTACGTGCCATCTACTTTTTCTGGTACACTTGCTGCGATCGCTACTTGGTGGCGGCTCGAAACGCCCATGCCACAGCTGTGCCACCTCCGGAGTACGCGTGCGCGCTAGTAAAGCTACTGTTCTTGGTTCCTATCGCGGTGCTACAGGACTACGAATCCCGCTTTGGGATTACCGGTCGAATGTGTCTTAAGTGGTGTGAGGCGTTCCACCATTCGTGCTGCCTGTACGTTCCAGAGGCGAGTCTTTTGCTATGGGGAACGTCCTGCCGGTACGCTCGTCAGTCGGGGAGAATTGTCACGGTGTACAGTTAGACGGTGGATTAACGATGCTGGCTGACTGCCTGCAGAAGGTCTACTCACTCCAGACTCTCCGGACCACGTCCAAGCAAGCGGGACCTGCGGCCAAGACAGTGACGTTCCAAGTGTGAAGTCGTGGAGCAGCTGGTCGTGGCGGGAATTGGAGCTGGACCGCCACGCACGAGGGATCTGACAAAAGGTAAGAAGCTCTAAAAACTCTTAGCGAGGTGAAACGAGGAAGTCAGTCGTGGATTTCCTTCTAACAAGAAACACAAGAATATATCAACTTTTACATTACTATCACAGTAGTGTCGCTAATACTACTACCTCCTACGTCGGCCCAAGATACTCACGACCCCGATTAGAGGAAGACCGCGACAGGATTGGCTAAAATAAATTTCCTATGAAATACAAATCTTTGCTTGCTGCTGCACAATTGACTAAATTTCTAAGAAATGACTGGCAATGAACCAATTATAAATTATTCAAATGGTTTCTCTTAATGAAAAATTCTATGAAGGAGCGGTAGATCCTCTCAAAACGAAAATTATACATGGGCGCTCTATCTTAACGACTTTTCCGGTAATAACCCTAGTAGCCCTAACGCACACAATAGATTTTGAAAATTTCAATAGCGGACCTTCGGGCACTGCATGTACAGTACCGTGGCGGATATGGCGCATGACCAAGGGGAAGCCTGTATATACGTCAAGCAATCGGTTCTTCGCGAGCTCGAGCAAGAGCGGTGCAGACTCAAGTGGCAGCTTTCTCGTGCCCTGCAGACGTCCGACACTTGCGCAGCTGAACTGGAAGCGAGCAAAGCTAAAGTGAAGGATCTGTTAACGATCGTGGAACTGAATAAGGGTGTAGCAGGCCTACCGGTAGCGGTGCAGCGCTCTCATGATCGAGACGTCAAGCGAAGAGCAGAACTCGACTCCTTGCATTACACGAATCAACAGCAGTGTCAACGATACGTGGATTTGGCCTTGCGCTCGATGAATCGAAGAGTGCGCTTCAGACAGCAACGCGTCGTCTTCCAGTCGCTCCAGCAAGTAGTGCAGCTTCGAACTCGACGCCGAGGTGCACTGCTGAGACTGCACACACGGATTCGATTGAGAATTCTACGACAGAGCCTGTACGGATGGAAGCAGGTAGACGGCGACTGTACCATAGAGAGTGCCAAAGTCTACCCGGTGCAGCTGAGTCAACCTGCCCTCTTGACAGTCAATGATGTTCCTTGTAGCAGATCAATCCGTGTCCAAGCCAAATGTGACTACGAACAAATTCGAAGGTGGCAACTTTTACGAAAGATGTGGAGAAATTGGGAACGCGCTGTCCGCTGGAAGCGAAGGCAACGAGATCTCTTGATACTCCCGTCACAGCGTTTGGTGCGCTCAGTGTTTGTAACCTGGGCATCACGGATAGGGTTGCTTCGACAAGGACGCATTTCCTTGCGTCGACTCCTCGTGCGGCACAACCGGCGGCTTCTACAGCTTGGGCTGACACGTTTCCGACTGCGATGCGCCGAGACTTCAGCTCACGAATGGGCTGAAGTCCTCAAAACAGCACACAACGCGACGGAGGAGGAACGGAAGCTCCGAGCTGATGTCCAATCTTCCGCTGCTTGTGAGCTACATACCGTTTACGTTCGGGAGCAGCAGAGACAACAACAATTGTCGGAACTGCAGGCACAGCGACGAGAAGCCTTGGCACAACGCGAGTGTAAATATCGAGCGTGGATGATACTGCGATGTTACGTGATCCAGTTGAGAAAGAAGACTGCGATCGCTGTGCAGTTCCAGAAACTTCAGCATCATCAGCGAGTGATGCGAAGGTTCCTCACGTCGTGGAAGAACGAAGCACGTCGCTCAAAACGCATCAAGACGTTATTATCAACGCGGGACGAGCGTCGAAATTACTCCACCAAGGCATCTTGCTTCAAACTGCTCGTTTGGACGCTTCGTCGCAGTCGACAACAGCGATTCCGACTCCGTGCGTTGATGTTCAAGCTGCAAAGGCTCTGGTTGATGAGAGGATGGCTCGGTCTGCGCATCCGGTCAGCCGTTCAAGAGTGCAAGGCGGCAGCTCATGTGGAAATGTGGCAGTTCTCTCAGCAGGTGGAGGCAACACAGGCTTCTTATCTCGGGGATGTTCGACGCAGCCGAAGATCTGCACTGAAATTTCAAGTCACCTGCGCTCTCGTCATGGCCGATAAGAATCAAGAAAAGTTACTGCGACGGGTGCTTCGTAGCTGGTCTACACATACAGCAACCCACGCTCGTCGTCGACGCGCTTTGAAGAGATTGATGTGTCGTACGCGAGGTCAAGCACTTCGATCTGCTCTTGGGAAGTGGGTCCTCTTAGACCAGTACGCAAGTACGAGATCCAGTCAACTGGACCAATTTCGACAAACACGACGCCACCGGGTAGTCGTCCTTGGGTTCATCATGTGGAAACGCTTCACACACCAGAAGCTTCTATCGAAGCTGGCGACTTATCGACTGCGGTCTTGCTCCCGGGTTTGGTGTCACTGGCATTACCTTCGACAACAGCGGGCGCGATGCCTCGGACGATTCTTAAAGCGAACGAGGGGGAGGTGGCAACGACAAGCCTTTCAGTCCTGGAAGATCAAGAACGACCAGCAGGTGGAGGTGCGTGCCAACAGATATGCCGCTGAACACGAGCTGGTGTCGCGACTGTGGCGTCGGTGGATTGGGTACGTCGCCTTCCGTCTACAAAACCAACGTCGCCAGCAGCAGAAAGTGCTAGCGCGAGCTAGAAATTCTCTACAACGAACAATTTTGTCCACAGTTTTCGTGTCCTGGAGCACTAGCTGGAGACGTGACCAGTCACAAGAGAAGCTGATTGTTCGAGCATTCCGACGAAACGTCGGACAGATTCGCGCGAGAAGATGCTTACAAGCCTGGCTTCAGTATTCGAAGCTGATGGCTCGCAGACGCGCAGCGGTAAGACGACTTTACCACCGACACTGCATTCGGAGCCTTGGAATCAAGTGGCGCCACTGGATACGAGCGTCCATGTCTGCGACGATCACAAGGCTTGAAGCGGTAACGATCAGAACTCAGGAACAGGTCCACAAAGTGGTCCGGTCAACGGGAAGAGCCAGCATCCTGCGGCGTATAATACGGAAGTGGAGACTCGTCAGTGTCGAGGCCACACGACAGCAACGTCGTCGAGATCTTTTCACGGAAAAACGACAATACATGGCACTCCAGGGCACCATGAGGCGATGGCAAACAAGAATTACGAGCTGCTCGCTGTCCAAACAGCGTCGAACGCTTCGACTCCTACTAAACCGCCTCCAATTATCCCTTGAGCGTCAAGCATTCAGACTTTGGGAACGTCGAGCTCGTGCGCATACCCTCTTTGAACGAGATCGGGTGAGTGCTGAGCTGTTCCGTCGCTCTGAAGTTCGAGTGTTGGTTCTTACAGAGAAGATACAAACCGAGCGAGAGAGACGAATCGTGTTCAGTGCATGGAGGTCCATCGCATTCCGAAAGAAAACAATCTGGAAGTTCTTACACAGCATCTTGTTGAAGTACCAGCAACGTTTGCTCCAGATGTCGTGGAGCTGGTGGACATCTCACACTCGAACGCAACGTGGCGTCACACATCTAAATGTAATGATCGCCCAGAGACTTAAGGCTGCAGCGTGGCGTAAACTGACGCAGATGTATCATCACCATGGTCTGAGGGTGACAGGAGCTCGACTGGCAGGAGCTATCCGGCACAAAACCGTTTTGCGTCACGCGTGGGGTCACTGGAAGCGAATTGACAACATTGTGTCCAGTCACGCTGCGCTGGAAGAGGCGAAAGCATCGTCAACCCAATCGATGCTGGCATTGAAAGAGGTATTCGCGAGGCGGCATCACAAGAAGCGGGTTTTGACCGAATTGTTTGCAATTTGGAAGCAGCAGACTGCACACATTAAATGCTTTCGACACCAGCTCTGCGTGGCTTTGGGGAGGTTGGTAGAAGCGACTCCGGTGTATCATTTCCACAAGTGGCGAACGATAATCGAACGACAGAGCTATCTCGACTTGCTTTTATCTCGTGTCGTGAAGCGCCAACGCATTCGGAAAATGCGCTCAGCTCTGGGTCATTGGAGACGGTGGGCACGAGAGATGGTGCATCGACAGCAGCTGGAGCAAACAGAGCACGCATTATCACATCAGCGAGAAGTCAGCGCCAAGCGCATTGCAGTCGTGAAATAATTATCGTGGCAGCGACCGTGTCTGGAAGGTCACTTTGTTCGCTGGAAAGTGCACGTGGAGCAGCGTCGGCGATACGTCGTCGAACAGAGAGCAGCTCTATCACATCGCCGCATTCGCCGTCTCCGTCAAAGCATCTGGCGCGCATGGCGTCATTTAGTTTGCCAGTCAAGACGGAGAGCTCAAATTATCTTGAAGATCTCGAACAGTACGCGGGTTGTGCTTCTGGCACACGGTTTCAATCAATTGGATCGATGGTGTGACTGGAGACATGACGTCGACCACACAGCGATCCGACTAGTGAGAATCCACGAATTGTGGCAGTCGCGACGAGGGTTCTCAGCTCTCCGTCAGCACCAGCATGAAGCCATTCGACGCCAATCCGTCATGGCAGCGTCGGCGTTCTCCACTCACAACACTCGACAGCGAGAGCGCCAGATCCAAAGGATGCGTGCGGTATCGCTCGTCTTGCAGCGAAAGACGAACTCTGCTCTTTACGATCGATTCTTCAGTCGCTGGGTCATGTACGCAAAGATACAATCACACACTAAGTATGATCAAGCTGGCTCGTGCGCGATCTCTAAAGCGGATAGAACGTTCATGTTTCGTCAAATGGAAGCGCCATAGCCGATACAGCGTCACTTTAAGACAGAAGCTCCACAGATGTCAGCAAAACTGGCAGCTTCGACGCCAAAAACGGGTCTGGAACGCGTGGGTCAACTTCACGCAGCACTCACGAGGCGTGAAACACGCGGTCTACGACAAATTAATCATCTGCGCACTTCGACACTCGCTTCAAGATGCCTGGGGACGGTGGAAGGCGTATACTCGACACGCAAACGACTTGATGGACGCTCATCGTGTTGCACAATGGGAACACGCGACAGCGAAGCGAGACAAACTGATCGACACTCTGGAAGACAAACACGAACGCTTGTTGCTGAGAGCAGCCCAGCTCGGACAGCAGAACAACGCGCTCCGTCGGCAGTTAGTGAGCTCAGCAGCCACGAGAATTGATCGAGTTCTGGAGCTTGGACGCAAAATACGTGTCTCAATTGCGCTCAAAGTCTGGAAGCACAAATTAGAGCAAGTGCGGATGTTGCAGTCGCGTCTTAAAGCTCTTGGTTCGCGGTATCAGCGACTGGCACTGCGGCGTTGGCAATCGACAATTCTACACTCACGGGCTGCTGAAGAAGTGAAGCGAGTGCAACTGGACATGACCGAGTGGGCTGCACGTATTGCTCACGCTTGTTCCACGCAATGGCTCAAACGACGAGCGTTCATGTCTTGGAGAGCGGTGGGGAGAGCTCATCGTGAAATCAATCGGCGTCTCGTAGTGGCTCAACGCAGACGTGATCTCAAGTGTATCCGGACGTGTTGGACGAGTTGGAAATCGATGATTGACGTTCGGACGCGACAGCATGCAGCAGCTACTGCTTCATTGGTGAAGAAGCGGCTCCTGGCCGTTCTGCAAGCATACTGGCAATGGAAAAGTGATCACAAGCGCTCACGAATTGCCAAACTTAATGCAGTTCATTGTCTTGTGTTGTTGCGGCGCGTTTGGCAGCGACAAGTCACGATCAACGCGTGGAATCAATGGAGAAACTTTGCAGCAGAAGTAGAAATAGCCTTGCTGCGTACTAGACTGGTGTTGACCGGGCTCGAATACGAGAGAGCCAAAGTTTCCCATACGTGGTCACAGTTCTTGTTACGCACTTTCAGTCATTGGAAACTGTACGCTCATAGCCGACGCGAGCGTCGAGACGGACACACTCACTCGTTCGCTGTTCGGAGTCGTCTAAAGCTACTTCATCGCCTTTTTAGGAACTGGAAACGCAGAACCATTTGGAACCAAGCGCGATCTGTGCCGTTATGTCGCATGGAGCGACATCTCCGACATCACTACAGAGCGCTCACAAAGTTTGCTTTTTGGGTGTGGTTCACTCGAGTACAGAGGTTGCCAAGCATGACGACGCAACTGCAAGCCGCCTCCAAGCACTTCACACCCGCAGCAGACGTCCCAGCTCGAATCGCACGCGCAGTGCTGACTGATTTACAACTGGCAGAGCGGCAGCTGCAGCGATCGAAGCAGCGCAGCGCATGGCGATTGGTAAACGCTACAGTGCGCAATGCACGTCGACGGACGCTCCAAACCGCGTTCGATCGACTCGCTGCTGTCCGATCCAGTCGTCGCTTGAAGCACACCGCTAGTGCCCGCGCTTTCGTCGACAACATGACTATGGCACTGCTACGCTCAGGCTTCCAGCGCTGGAAAGACCAGTACTTGGCGTTGGCTATTGACGAGGCGAAAGCGACCCAGCAGGAACTGCTTCGAGCTCTCCGCCACGTGACTTCGTACCGACAGACACTGGATCCTTATGCCTCGCAAAGGTAAAAAAAAAAAAACAAGTGAGGCATAGACAAAAAGGCTGATTTAACTTACCGGCAAAACAATGTCTGCCTTTTTTACGGGGTAAGACCAGTGGCCGCTTCGTCCATTGAGGTGAAGCTCTCCAGCTTGGTCTTCATTTCGTTTTCAAGTAACGGAATCGTCAGCCCATCGCTGTCGTCCAGGACCTGAAACTTAGCCACCAACGGTCGATGATCCGACACCATTCGCCAATAATCCACGAGTGCTTCTTCGTCTGTCAATAGCACAGGCGACTGTACGTGGCGCCAGTCGTGTCCAAACTGCGGGCGCTTCAATCGCACCACGTCTGGCAGTCGACGAGGCACCAGATGACAGTCCACGGGCTTGAGCTGCAGTCGCGGGTCGAGGAGCGTCTGGGCTTGGTCACTGTCTAGTCTGGCGCCGAAGATAAAGTCCACGCCGACCTCTCTGTTGTTGTGGTTGCAGTGTGTGATCCTCGCTTCTCGTCCGTGCATTTCAGCAAACAGACTGGCGTACCCATGCTTCGTCACGAGTCTGTAGACGGGGTCGTTGTAGTCGTTAAAGTCGCCACAGAGCAGCACTGGGATGTCGCACAGATCTTGACGAGCCACGTACTTTCGCACTGCTGAGAGCACGCGGTGGATCTGACTTAGTCTCAGACTCGCGTACATTTCGTTATGAGGGAATGTCAAGTGCGAATTAACCACAAGAAACGAGCGTTGATCTAGCGGCGCCTTCTCGCGGTTCCATTTGGTGGCCACGTGCATCAGCAGGGCCACACGGTCGCCCGCCTCCTCCACCAGATCCACACTTTCAACATTGTGCAACTCGAATTTGCGCTTATCCACGAACACAGCAAGTCCGTCCTCCTTATCTCCAGGTCGCTTAGCTGTGTGCACGTAATGTGTGGGCTGAAACGCGTGACGGAAGGCGCGCTGGTACTCGTGCTTAAACCAAAACTCCTGCAAACACACTACGTCGCACTGCTCGCGCTTGATGGCGCGGATGGAAGCCT